CTGGGAAACTTTAGATATGGAAAGAAACTTTTTAAACCTTATTTTTACTCTCAAAAATGACACATAAAACATCACATAATACAACTGATAACATATCAATAGCAAAGCATAAGATTCATTCCACAAACAGACACACAAATCCTTATATACAGTAAAAAACAAACAGTCCACTTCCTAGCCACAAGAATCAGGTCATTATTATTATTATTAACTTCATTTTAATTTCAATCTTAGATAATATATCTAATATGGAAAGGAAACTGAACAACATTCAAATTGTGGGGTTAGTGCAAAAAAAAAATAATAAGAAGAAGAAGGAAAAAGATAAGAAAAAGATGAGACAAGAAAAAGAAAGAAAGATAAGATTCGTTACCAGGCTGCCAAAAGAGCAATTTATGTTGTGTTAACAACAACAACAACAAAGTTCCCACATTTTGTGGGAATTTTTGACATGCCATTTGTGTGTATTTGTGCAAATTTCTGGAAAGGTTGGAAACTCTAAATTCAGATCCCACTCAGGCTGCTGCAACACTGTACATATAAAGCAATTTAACATCACTTTAACTTCTGTGGCTCAATGCTATGGAATTCTGGGATTTGTAGTTTGATGGGGCATCAGAGTGCTCTGACATGGAAGACTAAATATCTCACAAAATTACAAATCCCACAATTACATAGTACTCAGTCCTGACTGTTAAAGTGGCACCAAACTGCATTAATTCTGCAGTGCAGATGCAGCCTCAGACAGTTTACCAATCTCCAATCATCTCCAACCTTCCATGATCTTGTTCTCCTCCCAATACTTACCTTTTTTCATATAATACACAAAATACATAGCTATACTTAAGAATGCATTAACTTATTTCTATAATAATAAACACAAGAATATATTATAAAACAGAACAACAATTTTACAGAAGTCCAGGGCATCAGAAAACCTGTATGATGTAGTGGTTTGGATACTGGACTAAGATTATGGGAGACCACAGTTTGAATCTCTGTTTGGCTGTGGAAACCCATTGGTGATCTTGGGTAAGTCACACTCTCTCAGCCTCAGGGGAAAGTCATGGAAAACCTTCCCTGGATAAATCTTAAGGAACAGTTTGAGGGAGTGATTTGGTTATCAGACTAAGATTATTTTCTTTTAACTGTTGTAACCAATGTTTCAACCATTATCACCTTTAAAAAAACACTATTAAACTATTGTAAGCTGCCTTGGATCCTATTTTGAGACAAAGGCAGGATATAAGTGAAATGAATGAATGAATGACTATGGTTCAAATCCTTGCTCAGCCATGGAAACCCATTGGGTGACTTTGGGTAACTCACACTCTCTCAGCCCAAGACGAACAGAGCAGAAAAAACTCATCTGAAGAAATCTTGCCAATGAGAACCAGCATTGTATGATGGGTTACGTTTTGGACCAAGGTTTCAGGAGACCAGGATTCAAATCTCTGCTCAGCCATGGAAGCCCACTAGGTGCACTTGGGCACGTCACACACTCTCAGCCTCAGAGCAAACCTCCTCTGAAGAAATCTTGCCAAGAAAAATGTAGGATTGGGCCGTGTTAAGTCAGAGTTGACTTGGAGGCAACCAGCAACATCAGCCAGACTATCACAACCCTCCAGCTGGTCTAGGATGAGTTGCTGTTTGGAGGACAATTCATTACCGCTAGTGATAATGAGACTTTTCTCTCCGCCGAGGAGGAAACAGCTTGCCTTCTTGCACCTGACGTCTCTCTAGCTCAGTGCTGAATCTAAGCCACTTCTGTCATATCAGCACGAACGTCATTTTCTCCCCCTGACAATGTACACTAAAAACAGTAATTTCAATTATACTGGGAGAGGCGGCTGCTGTCGATGGAACAGATGTCAATCTGCTTGGGAACAAATGGGCACTGGGTGACACCACAGTTAGGAGCGCTTCCATCGAGAGGCGGCTAGCAAATTTCGCTTTCTGGGCTGGTCAGCAGCACAGAGCCACTTCTGCCCAATTTTCTTTCAAATGTCTCCGGTTGATTTTTCCGTCACGCTCCGTGATTCACGGCTGAGCAGCAGCTGCCAGGGCCAAAGCAAAGGGAGAGGAACAAGGCCAAACTTGACAGTTGGGGAAATCACTTAGTTAGCAGAAATGACAAAATTGGCCACACATGGAA